TCCTACCTCACGTTTCCACTCTCCCTTTCCTGATTAATAAGCCCCGCTTCTTCTTTATGCAAGCCACAAAATACATGCACATGTTAAATCCAGCTCCTTCCCACAGTGTAAAGGTCTAAACACAGCTGTCTGTCTCCTGTCAAAATGGATGTGGAGCTAAGTGATGGAGGAAGGTGAGCCAAGGTCGCTGTCTCACCTTTGACCCCAGAGAGATGGCCGATTGATCCAGTCCTCTGAAGTTCATAAACATTCTGCTCACACAAACTCCTCTAATCGTAATGTGACACCACAGAAGCCTGAGCTTTGCTGCAATAACCAAATCATCTTATCAAAACTGTCATCGGTCAATTTTTCATGGTAAAGGTCAGATAAAATGCGCATTGTGCACAGTTTTCCCCGAGTTTATTCCCTTGCTCCTTTGAAGCAGTTTCCCTGCCAATGCAAGCCCTCCTTCTCTTGCACATAGATATACATCAAAAAGACAAATAAGCCTGTCAGTTGTGTCTCTACGCATCTCAACGTCTGCATATGCATGCAGGAATTGTCAACACTGCACAGTGAGATCAAGCTGGCAATCTGTCACAACGCAGGGGATACAGTTGAAGATTCCAAGTGACTGATGACACATGGAGACATTAACCCCCTCTGATGTGGTGGTGGGCTCTAATAGATATGACGGGACATGACAGGAATATATTTTGACCTCTAGATTTCTAATCATGCAGATTTTGTTAGTCTTAGCTGAGCTTTAGCGTAGAAAAAGTGATTTGAAAATATTACAATTGAAGAAAAATAATTACAACTCGATATTTATGTAAATTTAAATATTGCAGAAGACCTGTTTTTGAAGACAGTACTTTGCAATACTACGTTATTTAAATAAACAGCAATTTTTGTATTATTTAGTGCAACACCAATAAATGGTCAACATTCTTCTGTGACGTAAATATAAAATTAATTCAGATCAACAGGTAATAGGAATACTGCTTAAGAAAGTAAACAATGACATGGAAATGTATTAAATAATCTCTTCTTAATTTATGTTTTCGCATATTTTGCTTCATATTTGTATTGGTGATCAAATGGAGTCAGTGGATTAGGTTGCAGGTTCTAACAAGTTTCTGGTCATTTTGTTTGTAAATGTTGAAGTGTGCGGTAAGTACATGTTTTTTTTTGTGCTTGTTTTATGTCAGATACTTGATGTTCATTTCGCCCATTTCACACTTTTGTAAATATTAGTAACAAGTAGTTAATATTTAAATAGATAACTTCAGATTTTCAGGCATGATTATACCTCTCTGTTTAATACATTACAAATACTATACAGCGTCAGGGGAGTGTGGCGTTTCAGAGAATAAGTTGAGCTCTGATGGGCCACACAGGTGGGATAGGAAGTTGCCATCCCTACCTCGGTCCTTCCAACTTCCGGTCACAGCAGTGGGCTGCTGCCTGCCGGCCTTATTGGAAGGTTCTCTCCTACTTGGTGCAAAGCAGTTTTTGCACCAAGTAGGGCAGGGGGCAGCTGCTCCTGTGCTTCCCTGACAACCTACCTCTATGCAGGACATAGGGCTGCCCTGGAATGGCGTCTTTTGTCTGTCTACCTGGAGCTGCCGATGCATTCCAGAGCCGAGTCTGCGTGTCCTTTGCTGCTCTTGGGTGCAGTGTGTTGCCAGCTTTCTGCTGTTTTCAACACTAACAACTATGCACCTCCATGTGACAAACTAGCTCATTTACATTAACCCTAGACAAGCACACCAAGGCAAGGCAGTGACATGTAAATAATACATTTTTTTGAATGTCACGGGTCACTATTACAGCAAGCTGGCCTTCCTTCTTTAATGTTGGATGCAGTGTAGTTTACTTAAAAACCAATTAGTTTTCTATATTGAGATATTCCCTTAGTAAAGCAAAATTGTCCAGGCACATGTAAACAACCAGTTTGCCTAAATGTCAAGATGGATCATACCCTGTCCTGGGTTTATCACTGTTGACTACAAGACCTACAGAGGTCGAACCTGTTTATCTAACCATCATAATGTGGTTCCTGTTGTACGAGAGAGAAATCAGAGTGGTTATAAAGTGATGGACATATGAAAGGCAATTTGGTGGTTTGAGCTGCTTGTGTTAGCAAATATTTTAAGAGCAGCTTAACTTTGTTATTCAGCAAGTACGATCCTTTTTGTCTGCACTGCAGTGGTTTGAGAATAAAAAAATTCCTCCCAAAACCAAAACAGCATATTTAGTCTGAGTTAACAAGCTTGTTGCTTATTAGGCTTCACATAAAAATTAAAACAAAGACAGCACACTCTATGGCCTCTTTATTAAGTGCATCTTGCTAGTGCCTGGTTTGATCCTGTTTTCCATTCAAAACCCTAATTTGCCTGTAATTACCCTAATTCTTCATGGTATGCATTCAACAAGTTGTTCTAAACATTCCTCAGAGATTTTGTTCTACAGGGACAAACCAGCATTAAATAGTTGCTGCAGATTTGTTGGCTGAACATCTGTGATACAAATACACCATTTCTACATTTCAAAAGAGCATATTTGTACAGAGATCTGGGGCCTGTGGGGCCACTGGAGAACAGTAAAGACATCATTGCGATCAGAAATCCAGGTTGAGATTATTTGAGCTATAAAATACTGGAAATAGTCAAAAGATGGGAACAGTTTGGTCATAAAAGGATGGACATGGTCATCAGCAATACTCATGTAGGCTGTGGCATTACAGCAATTCTCAATAAGTACTAAGATACCAGAAGTGTGCCAAAAAATATCTTCCACACTCATGCAGCACCACCACAAGCCTATATAAATGATACAAAGCAAACTTGTTGGAGTGGGAAAATCGGTATATTCTAATTTTGGTGGGTGTGTCCAGTAGCACCAGTTTCCTTTTTCTAAACAGAGCAGTGCCTGGTTTGGTCTTCAGCTTCTGTAGGTTTAGTGTGGTGTAGTATTTATTCCAACAAGTGATTATTGAACCTACTGCTGTCTTTCATCCGAAACAAGTTTGCCCATTCTCCTCTGGCAACAAAACGAGGCAATTTCATCTGCACAACAACAACAACAACAACTTACTGGAAATTCTCTGAACAAGAGAAATGGTTTGGTGAATAGGAAAAAAAAAGCAAAAAAAAAAAGAAAAAAAGAAGCATACTGTGTCAGCAGCTTCTGAAACTGCCTGCCTGGCAACAATAACCGTTCTACATTCAAAGTCACTTTTATAACATTTTTCCCAAATTTGGCAGCTTCATTTGAACTTGAACAAGTCATCTCCACAACGTATGGGTTCCACGTAATTGGCTGAGTCGCCATGTGTGCAAAAAGCACAAACATCCCAAATGACTAAAGTGGATGTTGTGTGTAGTTTAAGTAAACAACTCTACAATTCTCATCTGCCAGATCTGAGCCCTTTTGACTTCAACTTCATGGTAGAAGTTATGAAACTACTCAATGCTGATCAAATTTAACATTCTCTTGAAGTGAAAATAAAAATAGAGCACAATTTAGTCAGATTTTTTTTTTAAGTATCCTTTAACATAGAATTAAAACGAGTATTAGAAACGTGAAAAATAAACCCCCAGAGGAAGATCTGCCCAGGTTCTCATAAAACCTGGAGCCGGCTCTGAGTGCCGCACTGATTTGTGAGCGGCGCTGGATTTCAGCACCGCGGACAGCGCGCTCTCCCTCCTTCCGACGCGGAGTAGAGGAAAGGAGGGGGTGAGAGGAAGGAGACGAGTGGCTGTAGTGTTGACGGTAGTGGGGGTTTCCCTGGCAGATTTTAGTAGAGGGTCTTACACAGTGATTCCTACCACCTCCGCCTCCTCCTTTTTCGGATTTACATATGGAGGGAATAGCCTACCATGTATGTGTGGAGGACTAGTGGGGTGGGGAGGTCCGTCCGAGGCTTTCATGCAATATTGATCGACCCTGCTTCACACAGGATGGACAGAGAGGAAAGAAGAAGGGGTGGGAGAGGAGCGTATTTCTTTAGACAGCATTTATCATGTATCCACCCAAGCAGCACCATCACCTCCACCAAGTCCCTCCCTCCTTACATTCCCCGCAAAATCTGTTTGATTTACTCGCCGATCATGACCGTAACCGCTGGATTCGCCTGATTGGCGCTCAGGAGCATGACAAAGCAACAAACACAAGTGCACACGCACACACACACACACACGCAGATGTAAAGAATGGGAGACATGAAGGCCGGCGGCGAGCAGCTCCAACACCATCCGCATAACGCTTCCAACACCGGAGACACGCCGTAAACTCGTTGAATTAAATAAGCATGCCAGGATTTACTGGCGTGTGGAACCTCATCAAGCCAAAGTTCTCCTTATTCACACAACATATGCAACATCCGATGTCTGTATGCAATTAAAAAAAGAAGAAAAAAAAAAGATTTTCCTCCAAACATCACGTCCTGCTCTTAAAAAAAAAGGCCAAGAATGCGCTCATCATTTACCTAACGCGACTGTCGTGAGCAACATTTTTAAAAAATCGCTGTGGTCAGTTGAATGTCAATAACACAAATTCGAGCATCTTTATCAATGATGCAACAACAACCCGTGAGCTGTAATATTTTTTTCGAGCTGATAGAGACATGAATTATTCAGTACACATAAACTGTGCGCCTTTTCCCCAAGCAGAGGGGGTGGGGAGGGTAGAGGGGAAGCACGGCTGGAAAAGACATTTACAGTGCAAAACGCACGTCTACGGATTTAAATGCATGGATGTCATGTATGCAGGAAATATGAGAGGGAAGGGAAACAATCCAGACTGTAAGCCTGCGTCGCCTCCAAGAGGATGCAAAAAGAAAAAAAAAAAAAAAAACCTGCGAGAGACGGAGACGCCGCCGCCGCGCAAAGTAGGGAGAGAGAAAAAAAAATCAGCAGACATCTGTAAAGATCAAGACAGACAGCCGGCGTAAAATCAACCCAACGAAAGATGAGAGCGATGTGAAGGAACAGATTGGCGGCTGTGCCGTTTACCTGTCAGGACTCCGACTCGGATTTGGTGGTCGTGGTTCGTTAAAATCATCCCGTCTGACGCCATGTTCAGCAGCGCTGTCGCCCGCACCGAGATCTCACGGCAGGGCCCAGAGCCGATCTCATCGAACTCGGAAGAGTCAAGGGGAGGGGAGGATGAGGAGGGAGAGGAGGATGAGGAGGAGAGAGGGCTGGAATACAGCAAAAAAAAAAAAAAAAAAAAAAAAAAAAAAAAAAGCCAGACGCGATGAGTAGAGAGCCGAGTGATCATTGGGACGCCAACAGAGAAGCAGGGCTGGATGCTGGGGCGGTTTAAAACCGCACGCATCACTCAGCTGGCCGGCTGCCATCATAGTAGTATGTAGTTTTAATTAATTCTCATACCGCCCACTCTTGTTTAAATTATTCCAGATTTTGTCACAGAACAACACTAAACGTCAATGTATTTTATTGGGATTTTATATAGGCCTAATACACGTGGTGCATAATTTCAAAGAAGCAAACATGTTTTGAAATTGACTGATATCTGTAAACAACCAGTTTCCTTCAGAAGTGATCCAATATTTAGAAATTGTCCACTTGTGCGCAATTGCATCTCTGTGTGAAGCCAGCTGTTGTTTGAAGCCCTCTGAGGCTTGCAGGAGAATATTAGAAAATAATCAGCATCATAACAAACTGAGTAAGACAGCAGACAGGTCAGGGAAGAAGCCATGGAACATTTTAAACCATTATGAGCCACTGTTCAGGCCGACAACCTAAAATGGACAGTGTATGGAACTACAAACCTACCTGGACATGGCTGTCAACAAAGCAATCAAAATGTAATTCTACATTAGCTTCAGAGATCCATCTACACAACCAGTAATATTTACTGTATAAATACTATAGAATTCTCCCTTTTATAGTAGAGTGGGAAGAAGTCAGCCCGTTGTGGAAAGAAAGTTACAAAAATCAAGTTTTGAAGTTTGTTACAAGCCAGGCAGGTGACAAAGCATGTGGAGGAAGATGATCTGGTCACATAAACACAACTGAACTTTTTGCATACATGCCAAACATTTTGTACAGCAGTAAAACCAACATTTCACATTACCCAGAACAAATTTATCATCTTATTGTAAAATTATGAATGTAGAATCATGCTGTAGATATGGAGGGAAAAAAAATAAAAATATTTATTCAATGGGGTCCCTGACATTTTATTAGCAACCCAATGAATCAGATTAGCTTAAGAACCCAATGACACAGACAAAACCTCCTCACTCAATTGCTTTCTCCTCAGCAACCATTTTCTCCATTTTAAAACAAATGAGCGGCTCTTTTTTTTTCAATGCAGAAGCATTGCTTCAGTCTGACCCGTAAAAATGCAAGTTTGCATCCCTGGGCTAAACAAGCATCAAGGTGCTATTTATAGACTCCTTGCATGCTTCCATGGTGTATAATTTCTGTTGTTTATTTTCATGGAGAAAGGGTCCATCCTCCAGCATCTGCTGGGAATCAATCAGTATGCATAATTCATTAAGCGAGGCATGCAGGCTCTGATAGAAACAGAGAAATAATGTTCAGAAATGAAAGAACTCCAAAAAAGGATCACCTCGGTAATGTAGTTATGTTTGCGTCTTGTGATATGACAGCAAGAAATGGCATATTTTCTACCCTCTATTTACAAGTAAGATACATTTTTCAAAAATATGTATCCTTCCCAAAGACACAAAAGAGATAATCCAGGCTTTTATAAAGACTTAATTTCAAATAACTTCTTTTTTTACTTGCTACACATGGTTTAATAGTTAACATTCTTATGCTTATATAAATGTACATGTTTCTGTTACAAACAAAATACGTACATCTTCAAAGATTTGCCAATAACTTATTTTAAACATGGGGTTTTACAGGATTCAATAGTTTAAAAAAAATCTAAAATATTACATTAATTACAACCTTGTGTTCCAACTTCAAACAGTAATCCGTTTTCACAAGGGCAAATTGTGTTAATGCATTGCTTGACACTTGCCTGGGACTGGCAGAGATAACTTAAATGAATTAATGATTAACTTATGGGAAATGTTCCACATATTACAGCTGCACTTACTTGAAGAAAATTGCTCCATCATATTTTAGACCCTGAGGTGGAACAAACATGATTTTTGCCTCTGAGGCACTTTGATTTTATTAAGACAAATTAGTTTTCTCCCCCTATAACAATGTTGTGTTTTGAAGTTTATGAAAAATATGAATATTATTGTGTTAGAATGAAAAAAGAAAAAAAAAAAACCCAAACAGATTTTCACACTAGCGCTAATAAAGTAAATAAAGGACATTGTAGCTATAGTTTTCCAAATGTTCTTGCATTCAGACCTAATTTTGTATGATTGGCTAAATATAAAGTAGTTAATTTTACAGTGGGTTTATTTGCAAACCTGCTTTTCAAATAAAAAATCTAAAATTTGGATCATGCATCCTTATTGAACCTTGTCTATTCTAATACCTTTAAATACAATCCAGTGTAATAAACTGCCTTGAGAAGTCACTGAATTAGTAGCAAGACTTCAAGCTTTGAACATCTTACAAGGCTTGTTTCAAGTCATATAAAATTGGAACATTTGGCAGAAGTGAAATCCCACTTAGACAAAAATGAGAAATCAGAGAAACAGCCAGGAGGCCCATGGTGACTCTGGTGGAGCTGCAAGAATCCACAGCTCAGGTAGAAAAACTCACTTTGAAACACAATGGTGGTAGCATCATGCTGCGGGGATTTTTTTTTCAGGTTTAGGGAAGCTGTTCTGGATTGTAAGAGTTAAATCCCAACACAACTCCAATAAAATTACATTGAAGTGTCTGTAATGTGATAAAATGGGAACATTTAGTCTCATTTAACACTATTAAGCTGTTATTATAAAACTTTTCTGTGAGTTTGTACACTAGATGTGCAGACCTAAATAATCCTTTTTTGAAGGGTTTCACCACAATAGTTGAAACAACTATATTAAGTGTATTAAAAAACTATTTACTTTGCTGATCTTTCATCTTGATATCAAAAATGTATCTTCTTGTCCATAGCAAAAGACAAACATGAAACAAAAAACATTCTAATACAGAGAATTAGGATTCTCGGAGGAATTGTTTTTGAGATTTACCTCTGCAGTGCCAATGCAGGTGCAGATACTTCTTCAGATAGTCACAAACAAACATGAAGGCCACGTCATGGTCCAGAGGCTTCCATCAAAACTGCTAAATCCCCAGTTGGAGTCAAGCTTGAGAGCAGAGAAGAGAAAGCAAGATGTGTAGGAGGAGACAGGAAGCCATTGGGCTACTGACACCAGAAAAACCATGCAGAGCTTTGAAGACCATGTTTATGTTGCGTGAGAATGAATTTGCTTGTGCATGCATGTAGGTGCTTAATCCTCAGAGTTTAACACTGATCTCAGATGGGTTGATAATGTAGCCAGGGACCATCAGTCATAAGACCCCACCACTGTATCCATGCCAGTGTCAAGGACAGCCTTAGCAGAAAGAAGAAGTTGTTAACGTAAACGGTCCTGTAGTTCATGGTGAGCTCAGACAGGAAAGTCCCTTACTGCCAGTTGAAGGAGGGGGGCAGAAGGAGGTGCTGGTTGGGTTCATATTATGCAACGTCAGATCTGCTTATGCTACACTTTCAGGCAGGTGAGCAGTCTGGCATGAGAACAGTGGGTTTCTGTTTTTTTCTTTTCTTTACACATGCAGTTCCTTGCAAAATTATTTATATCCCATAAATTTTTCCACACTTTTTTTCAAGTTACAGCCACAAACTTCGGTGCATTTTACAAGGATTTTTTCTGACTGACAAACACAAAAAGCAGGTAATTGAGAAAAGAAAGCTTTAAAATTTTTTTTAATGAATAAAGTTCTCAAAAGAGAGTCTATAAATAGAGTCTACCTTTGTGTAATTTGACCATTCATAAGTGCTGTTGTGGAGAAGATATTAAAAAAAGTTACACTTTTATTCTATTCATCTAAGACATTGGCATAGATGCGTGCTATGGGGATTCATAACACTAAACAGTCAGAAATCTCTGGTAGGACATGAGCTTTGCTACTTGAACATTGCAAAGAATAATGGGCAAAAAAAGCTCCTCCAAAACATCTGCCTTTATATAGGTAATGTTTGACACATACCTTGAAAGATGGTGAGTGAATGTTTGGGCATGAAAACAATTGCACAGCATCCTTGTTGAAAGGACGGTGTGGGAAAGCAAAGTGATTTCCCCCCCCCCGTCTGATTCACAGTTATCTGCTGCTTCATGTTTGTCTATTACATAAAATTCAACTAACATTCAGTGATGTTTGTAGTTAGAACCTGATCAAAAAGCAAAGACGTTGTTGGTGCATGTACTTTTGCAAGATAATGTATGAAATATGCCAAATTTTCAGATACCGTGTTATTGCTTATGCTATTGAAGATGATTTTTGACATGGCCAAAAAAAAAGTGTTTAAATAAATCTTGATGTAAACATTGAAAAAAACTAAACATGTAGCCACTTGACCCTAAAACTTTTCAATACTGATCCAGAGCCTCAACTGAAAAATTAAAAGTTGTTTAATGCACGATAAAACATTCAGTTTTTAATTTTAAAGCGTTCCGCAAAGTTAAACACGTTTTATGATACCTGATTGCCTCATGCAGAAGACAACTTGCTGAACATCAAATTGCACTTCATGTGTATCTGATTGGTCTGCAGCATATTAGTTCTGTAAAAGGGAGTTGAGGCGTTTCTGTCATTTACAAGGTAGAGGGTAATTTTTTTGGCTCATGCTGTTATTCCTGTATCCAGTCACAGTCTGTCTTGGAAACGCGCCCTACAGTGGTTACTGAAATATCTCCCAAAGAAAAACACCAAGATAGTCAAACTTACCTCCGGGCTTGTTCAGTGTTATCCCTTGATGTTTTTTTTTTCTAGAATACCTGTCTAAATCTGGCCCCAGCTGAAGAGGTAATGTCAGCCAGGAAGACAGAAAAAAACAATTATCCATCTGTGAATGAGCTGCACAGAGTTAATTAAGGACTACTGGAGACAAAGTCCTTTCTTTAGAGGCAGTTATTTGGCAACAACATGACATGGAGGTTGGGACGGGTCTAAGGCATGCTGGAGCACACATACACTATCTGAGGAAACAGATAAATGGA